ACTAAATATCAAAAACAGTAAACATATTTACATAAGCTTTTGCTGACTTCTTAATCCATTTCTAGTCTAATGCAAACAAAAGGATATTTAGTAGCTGAGGAAGAACTACATGGTTCACCATTCATCCCCTCACTGCAGTAATGTAAATGAAAGCTTTAAATTAGTGTTTCCCACATGCAGCCATAGCAAAAATTTTCTTGAGAACCACTACTTTGTTTTTCATTAAAATAATGAATGATGGAGTTAGTTCATAAAACAAAATTTAAACCCAGTCCTTCTGAGAAGCAGAAAGGGGCAATTATTTTTTTTGTCCATACAAAGAAACAAACACACACAAATAACACTTGTTTACACTGAAAATAAACAGCCGTAGGAACACCATTAATGTATATTGGATTTATTTCCCCTGACTGCTTCTCAGTCAGCTCACAGACTGCCAAAAATCACAGATACTAGAAACCAATATAACAAACGTTGAATGGTTTATGAACTGCCAGATCTCACCAAAAAGCCATCAATGTGAAACCATCACCAAATAAGAGCCCTCCCTGGTAGTGGGAAGCTGGCAGTCAGTGCTATTCAGCATTTTATAATAATGATTTTTTGCCTTTTGTTATCTCCACATCAAGACTGGATACCTTCCCAGTACCCTTCAGTTACGGATTTCTAAATTTGGGCTCACTACAGTGAGGGACACAGAGATAAGCAGGAAGCCAGACAGCCTAGCAGTCTTTTCTGGGATTAATTTCTCTGAATCATGGAGGGCCATGAGATGCCAACAAGTGCTGGAGTTAGTTTCCAAGAACTACTAAGTTCACACCAACTTTGCTGCAAATCATTTTTACGCACAGAAAGCATGCTACATGCCTCAAGGCCAATAAATACTGATGAGCAGGCTGCAGTTGCTATTAAACCCTCGTAATGCAGCCACCTGAATAATAAAGCGCTTAAACATTTTGCTGCTTAGGTGAATTGAAGATTTCCTATTCTGAATCTATTGATTTTTGACTTGGGCGCAGGAGAGGGGAGTAAAGCCGTTAAACATTTTCTCCTGACAAAACCAATTAGGGCCCGGCTGCAGAACGAAGACCGTCATTAGTCACATTACTCAAATTTCTTATTCACGCAACTGTCACCAGAAAATTAATTCCGTCAACTGAAGAGCAGCAGGCCCAGGCGGGGTGGATGACGGCCTTCCAAGCGAGCACTGAGGTGATTTACGGAGAGCCACCCGGCCGGCACCGCGGCGGCCATTGGGCGGGAAGGGGAAGGGGTCGGCGGCCTGAGCGGGGCTGGCCGCCTGCCGCCGCCACCACAGCCCCGGGCGAGAAGGGCCGCGGCGCGTCTCGGGGTGCGGGGAAGGACGCGTTTCGTGGGCTGAAAGGAAAGGTGAAAGGCCTGGCAGCAGGCGGAGATGAGTAATAAGCTAAAAACAAGGCAGGTGGGGCTCCGCATTTCCTACAGGCTTTGCTTTCCTCTCCAGAAACCTCCAGGCGGGCAGTTGCCCAGAGGATTTGTGTCGTTACAGTGAGCGGCTGCAAGCGGCCACGCACCGAGCTCTCGGGTAGAAGCAAATCAGTTGCAAAAAAACACTATAGAAGAGAATTTACATGATTTGGATGAACAAAGAATTCAAGATCTCATTCACCAGGCAGCGACTAAAGAATTTAATTTCAACCACATGAATAAACCCAGCATGTTCTCGCCTGTCTGAGGCACCAGGCTTAAGTGATTACTTAAGGCATTTATCATACTTACCTTTAACTCTGTGACTTTAGAACATCAAAAAAAAAAAAACAACCCAAAACCTACGGAAAAATACTTTGTACCAAATATCCAGTTAATCTAAGGAGATAAACCACAGCGCTTTTAGTGCAAGCTTTTGTTTCAGCTGGAAATTCTCATTTTAACTTATCTTAAAGAAATTTAAATGTTAGCTGAAATAATACTTTAAAGTTATCTAAGTGGTGACACTTGTGCTTGTGTTTCCTGCAAGTCTGTCTTGCCTGATAGCCACAGGAAGTCTATGTGTGTGTATTTGTCAGCTGCAAATAACACTTCTGGACTGTTATTTCAAATTTAGTTTATGACAAATACCGGCTGATGAACGCCAGTGGGGGAACATCTTCAAAAGGTACTTGACATCTCAGTGTTAGACTTGGCATGTCTGGGGCAGAAAGTTTTATTTCCTCTGAATCAGGCCTCCACGAATGCTTTAATTTTAGGGGATATAGTGTACCCTCTGTTCTCCTGACTTATGAAATTGTACAGACATCAAAGCAGTCAGCAGGTTTAATTAAACACTTAATTATATATGAGGGTGGTAAGGTATGCATTTGGGAAATAAAAACATTATTTTCAAAACTAGTTGAATGACAGTGAACAGAGTAAAATTTGCATAACCGTGGTATACCATACCTTTCACAACATCATTCATAAGGAAAATGTGTTGGGTTTGAGTTTTGGTGGGGGTTTTTTTACTAAAATAGGTTCTAGACATTTCTAGCTTTCAGGTCTGGTGCATGTAGCACCTTTCATAGCTGAAACAGAGGCTGCAGACACACACCCTCAATGCTTTGTATGTCCAATTCTTTGCTTAGCTGCATACACTAGGAAATGCACTTTACAGCACACACAGGACTAGCAAGTAACACATAAATGTAACAGTTTGATATTTTACTGAAAGCTTTACCTGTAACTGCCAGATGTTTTCCTTTGCCCAAGTTTCGCTACTTCAGTTTTTGTCTTGCCTTTACTGAAAAACAAAACTACATACGCTTCCATAGCCAACCAAGTACAACCGTGTGTATAACTGCTCCAGTAAATATGGTAAAACTGGCATATTCCAATAATTGATCATCAGGAATAATTTTTTACTCTTTATACCTAGACTATAAAGATTATGAAATATCCAGTTTGCTATTCTGCTCTTCTGATTCATTCTTTCAGTGGGAAAGAAAGAACTGAAAGTGTTTAGAACTTTTCTCTCCCATATGTGTTAACTTCCTTTCATAAAGTAAATTTCATTATACATTTTGTATATTGCTGTTCGTCACTTCCCTGCCTGTTTGTATTTCGTGCTACAAATTACTTTCATAAGCAAGCTTCATTAACATGGTTTACGCCCTCTACTAGAATAATTAAATTATTATTAAATAAAACAACTCTTTGTTATTTAAGGTCCCATGTCAGTTTTCAGAATAATGGCTGGGAATCATCCAACTGCAATTATGCTCTACCTACCCAAATTCTCTTTGTAGTTTTAATTAAAATATATTATCCTGCATGATTTCACCTCCTATTTTAAGTTTTTGTACAGCACCGGTTAAGGAAAAAAAAAATTATCTCATAAAGCAATTCCTCTTTTTTGTGGGCTTAAATAGGTAGAATAAATACCTTTGTTTTAGTCTAGCTTGCAATCATAGACTTGTGTAATCTCTAAAAATTTTTAAAAAATCAGATACATTGTCTTAAAATTATACAATGGGAAACTTGGAATAGTATATCACTGAGAATTGTTCTTACTACAGTTAAGAAATGTTAAGGGAATGCAAGTCAACAGGTAGATGAATGCCCTTGAACAATGACTAACGAATTAGAAGCCTGGTACAAACACGTAAGATTTGCCACAATAGCTAAGCAGCTGACAAACGTCATAAGAATCTGAGGAGATGTACAGAACATCTCCAGGATGATTAGGCATATTTATTAATAAATGAGACTGACATACTAGCTAAGGGAGGGAAAAAAAATGAAAAAAAGCATTGGGAGTGCAGTATATTCTTGGCAGATATTTAACACTGGGAAATTTTGTCTTGAATAAAATTTGGATTTTTTTTGTTAAAAGAGATTTTCTTCAACCTCAGAAGTTTTTCAAGCAGTAATTATACTTGAGCATCAAAATCAGAGAGACTGTTTAACCTGCCTCATTAGCACTATTAGTACTGATTTTGCTATCTCTTCTGTTTAGGTATTCAGTGAAATCAGCATGTAGTCCTTTCAAGAATTCTAAGAAAATAGACCTGATGCTTCCAGTTGTTCAGGTAATTCTGAGAGTAAGTTTAATCAGGAGAGAGCATCTAACCACAGAGGACCTGTACAGGCAAAACCAGAAACCATCCTCCAATTTAAAAGAGCCTGTAAGAGAACTGATGTCAGACTTGGAGTATATCTTCATTGCAGATTTCAGATGAGTGATAGCTGAACAATAGTCACATTACAAACCTGTGCTCAGGTCATCACCCTATTGCAGAACTCAGTGCGGGCATTTCATGCAGCTCCAAGTAATAGTCCAAAAGTTAAAGCCTTGTGTTAATAAATTTCTTCTGCAAGTTCTAGTACACAATGGTTGTTCTGCTGGATACTGTGTTACTAAGGCATCCTCAGAAATTCTGAGGAATCAATTACAGCAGATACTTTCAAAGAAAACCATTATACATGTTTTTCCTCTTAGAGTTGGCAAGTTGTTCTGCTTCACAGAGAAATAGAGATATTCCCAGGAATTTTTGACTAAAATATCAAAACATCCAGATGGAATTATCCCAATACAACTTCAGTCTGAGCAGATGTTTCAGTTTTAGTCAATACGGCAGACACAGCAATTGCAGGTGTCACATTAATTTCAAAAATTGATTCTCCATAGTGCAGCCAGCAGATTTTTCAAAAGCACAACCTGGTGCATAACTGGATCTGTGGAACTCTAAGGTTCTGTTAATGTACTTCGAAAATAATTTATTTTAATTATGCCTCAAGATACTTGCACCAATCATAAAGCTGAATCCCACTTAAACACTTTTAATGTAATCGTTTTACTCATGTAACTACGCAAACCACTGTAGAGTTTTTACATGTGCATTGTTTAGTTTATAATCATCAGAAAGAGAAGCTAGTTACATAAATTTGCACAAAACCGGAGATCAGTTATTGATGGAAGACATGAAAATTTGAATATTTTTCATGTGCTAATATAAATATTTAAATAAAATAAACAATCAGCCTCATTTCTAGGATCAATAATTTATTTAGGTTTTTTACATTTTGCAATTTGTTACAGGAGAAGAAACACTTGCTAATGAAAATGACATGTTTTTTAACCATTTTCCGAGGTAATGGAAAAAGTTAAGTATATTCCCTAGTATGCACATTTATGACTAAGCTGCCAATATTAAATAATTTTAAGCAAGTGTACTCCCTATTTAACCCTTGTATAAATTAATTTTAGTACTCTCCTTCTCCTACAGGAAGACTAAATTGTAGCATCTAATTTTCTTTATCCTCAAGTCTCAATCTTTGCTCTCGCTACTTATCTATCTGCAAACAAGTCAAACAGACTAGTTACTCAAGCCAAAGCCACAGAAGTGGATTCAATGCCAAGGTTCCTTTTTCTCTTGGCAACTTGGTTTCCTACTGTCCCAAAAGGAAACAAAAGACTCCCAGTTTTCTGAAAACCAGATTCTCTGCATGACAGTGCATTGCATTGCCACTAAACCGGCCACAGTGGATGTTCTTATAGGAAATAAATCAGGTAACTAACAAGATACAAAGAATTATAAATGAAATTGGTACAAATGTTTCTAACATTTTCCCAGTGGTATATTAACTAGAATCCTACTTTCTTTCCACAAAAAATATATTTTTTTATAAATACATTTTAATACAGACAATTCTATGCAAAAAAGTCAATGTCACATTCAAACAGGTTTTCTCAGTGTAGCAGTAAGATACAAGCAGACATCACAGTAGGCATTAACACAGTGATTCTAGGGAGGCAGTTAACTACAGCTTGTGAACACAAACACACAACCTCGCCCCTCAGACTGCCCTCTGATTTAGAAAACAACTGAGCTGCAACTTGAGGCCTAGATTATCACACTCTTAAAATCTATTTCCACGTTTAGAAAATGGTATGAATTGTCAGTGAGCTTTATTATCTGATTAACAGCGAAATGTTTGTATAAATATAGGTAGTGCTTTCGCTGGGGGTACAGAAAAGAACCACTAGCAGAATCTAGCAACTATCTCAAGAGAAAAAGCATTTACACTTACCACGGCCTTAAAGCTCTTGGCTCCAATTAGCTGAAATTAATTCTTATTCCCGTCCTTGTCCCTCTCCCTCATTTTTTCCCAAAGATAACTTCTACCATTAGAGTCAGTGCAGGTGTCTAACTTCTGTGCAACACTTACAGATCTAGTTGCTCTTCCACCCCCACCCCCCTGTAAGGGATAGCAATAATCTCTATAGTTTAATTCCTAACCAGATCTAATTAAAATTGAGCTGTTAACGATATTTTTTCAGGTTATGAATAATCAACAGAACATTTTTATAATACTTATTAAGTATGAGAGTTAGGTATTAGCATCTTCTCACCTTAAATAGCCCCCAAATAATCTTTGCATGAATAAGAGTTCCCTTCAGTTTTTGTTATGAAGACTGGAATTTAGTTTTTATGGGTCAACATGTAGCACTGTTTCTCAGTATACTTCAATAGTCCGTTTGCTCAAAACAAAGGAATTTGGAACTTGGTAGCCTGCGATGTTTCACACAGTCAGCCACTGCTTTGACACTCTATACAAGTTTTTGAAATGAAACTCAAATGGAGGACGGAGGTGGCAAATAGAGCTGTCTTACTGACCTGCCCAAAAACAAGGCCTGGAGAGAGATTATGAGCAAGAACTAAACCCCAACACATTGCTTTCAAACCTGAAGACACTTTCTACATTTAAATTAAAAAATTTAAAAATTCTTCTGAATCAGGGAGAGTGGATTATTCAGTTATTTCATAAATGTCACCACATAAAGGATACATTCACAGAAACCATTTTGGCTTTTGTCACTGATCTGAGAACAAAGTTTCTAGAATTTAAACCATAGTTGCACTTAATGTGTTAATTTTAAAACTAAACTGTTCTCTTTCTGCCACTGAAGTCTGTGAATTACTAGACCATGCAGCATGGCAGTTAACCACAAATGCATTGCTGTTGCTTTTCTTTAAAAAAACCTAGAGGTTTAAAGGAATCCGAGACTGAGGAAATGAAAGAATGTGTTGAGTTATAACTTCCTTGTCTCTCAGAAAAATTATGTCAGTATTAGCACTCACAGAGACTTAGTTTCTTTTTCCAAGCTTAACTCACCTTGTAAAGTACACATATAATCCTGTTTTATGACAGGAAACAGATAGTCATTAATTGCAGATAATCTTGGTTAGCTCTCAGATGTTTTCTTTCACTTTCAGAAAGTCAGATCCCAAATTTCCAGACTGACTCATTAAAACAAAGATGTACTGCTAATTAAAATAATTTTTAAAATGAGACCAAAGAAAAAATACAAGAATTATTTTTCTACAGCAAATATTTGGTGATTTTGTAGATGAACTTTCAAAGTAAATCAAAAATACTAAAATACAAAATAATAACTAGTCAAGGAGACTAACAAATTCTTCTGCGAACAATGCTGTTAAGATTTTATTTTCAACTGGTTTATAATAAGAATCAGCTGACAATTTAAGGGGAAAAAACATGGGTTTCATTTTACAACTAACCTGAGAGCTCTTTCAGATGAAAGCTGAAGTTATTCAGTGTTGTACAAAGTGTGGTCTAACATTAAATTTCGCACACAGTTTTAATGCAAAACAAGGACAGAAGTGGCATTAGAGCAGCAACTGTACTGCAAAAGTTTTTGAAGAAATATTCTTCTAGTGCTGTGTATGTGCAACAATATAATGTCAACACAACACATTATACCATTGCATAAACGGGTACAAAAGGAATGGAACCTCTCCCCTGGACAGTGATTCCCACAAGTTTGCAAATATTGTGGACGTAGATGCCCTTAAAGAAATACAAATAACCTGTTTCCAAGTGAAATAGATATAACAGTGATACCTCTTGCAGTAGAATACAGAAAAATGCACCTTCATTACACTTTCCACAGAAAGTTTTGTTCTTTGCCTTGGTTTAAGAAGCAGAACTTGTTATTAGTAGCAAACTGAAAATCTAAAGCTAAAATAGGTTGAAATTTATTTTATTGAAAACGTCCAATATTCGTTTCTCTTTTAAAGTATTCCTAATAATCGAATCTGAATTATCAGAACAGCTAGCAGAATTCAGGAGGTCAGTGGCTGATAGTTCATCCTCTTAGTTTAACCTCAGACCCACCATAAATGGAGCGTGTCAGAAAGTCCTTTCAACAATATACTGCACTGTTGGGAACAAGGTAACTTTCTGCAGGTTCTTTTTTAAAGGGGCATGTCTACCACTCAAGTTTTCATTAATTACAGTAATATATTTAGGGAATTACTTTTGGTTTTGAAGTCCAAAATTTAAAAGGAGGTAGCATAAAAAAGGAGCACAACATGACACAGACAATCATATGCTATAGAGAGGAGACTCAGTACCATAACACTAGAGTCTGCACCAAAGTACAACTGCTCTCACCAAAATATACTGAGATGTGTATTTGTTTGAGATGTACATCTGTTTGAAATGTATGACTGGCAATTCTGGGCAAGCACCATTGCTAGAAATCTTTTAAAAATCTTATGCACAGAAGTGATTATTATGAACATCAGGTGAGCGTTGAATCGTATCCCCAAAAAACCTGTATAGGGTGCCAGTTATAAACACATACGCTCTCTTCTGTCTTAAAATCGGTATATTTTCTCCTTCAAGAGTTGGAACAAAATTCATAAATACTTAAACTTGCAAAATGTTACTGAATATATAGATAGTTTAACAGCTCTGATGCAAAAAAAAAAAAGGGAAGATCTAGACATTTTGAAACTATTTTCACCTTTAGTAATTATTGTGCTATAAAATTCAATGATCAGTAGCTCAAAGCATTGTACAAATAATGAGGAAATTTTTTGTAACTCTCAAATAGACAAGTCAGCCATAGGCTAATTGTGTGATTTAATACACTAGAGACAAAAAGTAGTAATAAATACAAGTCTCATTGTGATAATAATTACTACAAGATACTAGTTGTGTAATATCAGTGAACTTTATGTACTTTCTTAGCTATCAATCTTAATTAAAAATTCTGTGCCGTAACCTAACCTCACTGAATTTTCTTTAGAAAACTGAATCCTCTTTCAGAAGTAAAGCAAGCCAAGCCAAACACAAATGGTAACACATTTAATAGGGATCACAACCCCAGTAAAAGCACAAAAACCTCCCTGTTCTTAGGCAGATGGCTACAGTTGGAACCATTTGTAGTTCTGTTTCACTTAGGCTGTGACTAGAAAGATGTTAATCATGACTGAAAATGGTATTTTATAAAAATTATTACAATCACACCTATCTGAGTCTAACATATAATGTTCCACTTAAACTCACAGAATTAGACATGGAGACACCAAGTATTTATAGAAATATCTACAAACTGCAACTGCCTTTTATTTTTCTTAAAGTATCAGTGAACTGAGCTTTACAGTAAGGGTTTCATGACAACAGGCTACCCCACACAGCCTCCTCAGGTTTTGTTTTGCATACACTAGTTGACTCTTGATGTTGCTACTTCTCTGCACTTCTGTCTTTCCAAGAAGCACATGCTGAGTAACTTGGGAAAAATTGGTCTTCAATTTCTTACAGAGTCTGAAGAGAGAGCTCTTGCCAAATTTTTGCTGTGCCTTAAGGTCCTACATTGTTAGGCTTACTGTTTCACCTGTATTAATATCCGATGCGAAACATTTTTAACAAAGGGAAACACTGTCATAACATTCTTCAAATTCAGATACAAATGGAAAACTGGAAATTCCACACTCTCCAACTGCCCTAGACAAATGAAAGCATTGCTCTAACAAGCAGTGCTGAAGCCCTTATCTTAGTATTGAGCAGAGATGAAAGAAAATAGACATGGAAAACATATAGCATGAATAGGCTGAATGTTAGCTATGTACAAATGTTAAATAAAGCTAAAATCCTTCAATTTTTCCTGATTATTCTGCAATCAGTTTACAAAAATGGAAATCAACGAAAAACGCTTACAGAGGTTCACAGACTCCCAGTGCTATTTTGCCTTCATCTGAAATGTAAAAGGACAGTACCTGATTAAAAACACCTCTGTCATTGAACTGCTGGTCTTCATTGTGAGTTTCAGTGTTTCCAAGATTAAACAGAATATAACATAGAAGGAACAAAACTAAAGGATGAGATATGTATTTACAGAACTAATCTGAAGATGAAACTTGCTTTTGTAAGATGTTATGCCCGACATTTTCAACTGGATGTGCAAGTTAAATTGGCCATACCTTTGAAGCATTCACAATGAAAAACAAATAAACAAAACTCTGCATTTGCATCCATCCACTCACATGGTTTCTCAGATTACACTGTTTGAGAAAGCAATCACGTCCTAAAAGATACTTGAGGGCAAGATCACAAATCCGCAGAATTAGGGCAAAATGCCCCAGTTCCCACAAGGCCATTATCAAAGCAGACACTTAAAGAACTTAGGGAAGTGGTATCCAAAGATCATTTAGCATTGTAGAACCGCTTAAAGTTCTGAAGGATTGGATCTGCTTCAAAGCTCAAAGAAGATGAGACTGGCAAATTTAGTCATGAAACTCCTACTGTGGCAGAGTCCTTGGTTTGTGGATCCTTGTCCAGTTGACATTGTAGGCAACAGAACTGAAGGTGTTGGTATCCCTGACAACTTCGATAGGAAAGGGAAGGTCAGCACAGGTTGGCTGTCCATCCTGTGCTCAAGGTCCTCCACTGTATGAATAATCTGCCTTGTTGTGCATCACGAGCTTGTTGTCTACAAAGTAGAAACTGTCCGACTGTGTCTCGTATGGATGAAGGATCATCTCTCGAACTGCAGTGGGAAAAAAGAGAAAAAAAGAATTAATCGTGTTACACAGAAGCCCTACTGAGGCAAAGCTCTGCACTGGGTTTCAGTTATGTTTAACAGCATTACTCACATAGCAGCAAACTCTTAAGTGAAAAACCAAAACAGGAACCTACCTAAACCATTTGTTGACAGTATACTTTGAAGAACTCAAACATAATCGAAATCTGTTAGGGCACCATACAAAGTGTAAGTGCTCTACCTAACCTCAAAACAGTATCAGACTAGATTTTGGGGGTTTCAGGTTTTTTTTTTTTTTTTGTTTTAAAAAATGTGATGAAACAGCGAACTCAAATTTTTTTCCCGTGTGACAATAAGTAAGCAGCAGTGCGTCACTGTATTTTCCACAGACTGTAATATTAGTGCTGACATACATGATTAAGGGTTGTAAAGAATATAAGATCACACAGATTTAGTACTCCAAGATCTTGGGAGAGAGGAGAGAAAATAGAAGTTATGTTATACTAAAACTAAAACCTCTCAAGCTATCTATATAGCACATCAAACAGAACGTAACATTTAAGTCACTCATTTAATGGATGTCTTTTTAATTCTAGTTTTCTAGTTGGTTTATAACACAATTATCTTTTTTCTCCTTGACACTGAAGCTTCACTTCATGAATTAAAAAAAAAAAAAAAGCAACTGGCTGGCTGGCTGGTGGGTGATAAAGATACACACTACTAGAAAACAAGATCTGTATTAACACAAATACAAAACTGTCTGGAAGTATTCTACTCTACCCACTTTCTACAGGCAGCTTTTAAGAAAGGGCTTCCTCAAAACACCTCAGATTAACATCACTATGTGATAACCCAGTAATTAAAGGGAGCTTACTGAGATCCTCAGAGAGCTGTGGGAATTCGTAGATGTGCTCACAAGTATTTTTACTGCTGGGGATACAGAACCCAAATTCAAAATCAAAACTCTTGAGCAACTGATCCCGGAAGTAGTGCCTCTCAATCATGCGGAAATTATTAATGGGTTTGTCCCCTACTGTGAACTCCACCCTGAAAAAGAAGGATAATATTGAAATGAGCTTACTTCCTTCAATAAGATTTTCACCCATTCTTGAAAGGTAGAAGACAGCTTTTCTAAAAAAAGCCAAAAATATAAAGCAATGGTACTAACCAAGTTAGTGTTTCCTCTTTATCTTAAAACATGCTACAGGGACACAACATAGCATTACAAATCATGGATTATACTATATTTTGATTATTTTTACTAAAGAGACATGCAAGGCAATTTTACAATCTTAAACTCATCTGCAGTGAAGGAAAGATCCCTCCAACTATACTGGATAGACAGTTCACTAGATCACTCACTAGAAGTTCCTTGCTGCTTTGGGTGTTTATACAAGTTATTTTAATTCTTCTGGTGGGTATTCAAAAAAGGCCAGAAAATGGTCTTTCTTGTGTTCCTGCTTTGCAAATGGTGAAGGGGGACAAGTTCCAGCCAGCACCATATTCAGGTTTCTCTTACCAAGCAGCATGACCTCTTGGAGAAAAATAGGTATTAGTTACATATGATACACTATGAGTAAGCCAGGAAGACACCATTACTAGTTTGGCACAAATCGAAAGTTGGGTATTTACCATTTTAGTCAAATAGTGGCCAAAGAGGTGATAATTGATACATAACTTTAACTTTTCTTCCAAAACAAAATCTAAATGGTGCACATCTTTAAGATTAGCAGGAAGTGGTAATGTGCAACCTTGCTCTAAATAAATTCTGACAACAAATTTTAATTCTTTTGCATCATAACCAAATGCTGAATTTTAATCAAACTCTTGAAAATACTTTTTTTTTTTTTTTTTAAGCAAGGTTACTGCACATCAGTTCTTGTGAAATACACATCTGGTGCTGACAGGATTTATCAAACTACATTCAAACATGAATCCAAGCTAATGATTTCTATATATCTGAAACAAATAGGCTTGTGGTAGAAACTATAACTGATGCTCAATTATAGTATTATGGACTCCATGACATAATAGCAATGGGCATAAAGCTCTTGACTAGATCTACTAATTTAAACATAAATGAATGTAAAGAAAAACAAAAATAACAACCTGCCATGCTATGACCCAGTATCATTCTAAAATCTCCAGAAAGGACAAAGAAGCCCACCAGCCTGCTCTTTGGAGGGCCAGAAAAAATACAAGCCAAAAATTGCATCTCCCCGTGCATGCTATTTAACTGCAGATAAATCTGTAGTTAACAGTAAGCTAGCACTAATAGTGTAGTTAGTAGTAAGCACTACTAAGTTTTACTAAAGAAACAATACACTCTGTCACCTGTATTACATTAGCAATAACTTTGGCCTAAAGCTTTACAAAAAGATACTTTCAGTGTCACATTTTTGATGTGCTTTATCAATGGATGCAAGCAGGATTATCAGACACATCCAAGATCATTCTAGTACTTAAAGTGACAAACATTACTTCACCACTTCATGTGCATCAATGGATTAATGCTTTTTGGGAATGCAATGTGGAAGACTGCAGGCATACCTCCCTAAATTGGCAGAGCCTCTGACAAACTGTAATACACAGAAAAGAGCTGGAATATCTGCATAGTCTGTCAACCTTATCTCGACCCTTTTAGCATTAGTCACTTCAACCCCATGCCTATTCCTGTGGTAAATAAACAAGCTAAAGGGATGGAGAAAGCAAAGCATCCAGCAAGATATGGAGTCTGGAGATCCTCATAATAACAAAAGATCCCTATTAAATCAACTTCCTGACAGGATAAACAAGCATGAGCCATTTTTTCATAAGACTTCAGTTGTTTCCTGTACTAGAAAGGCAGCACAGAAGCAATTACTTACGTGGCTCCCACTTGCCGAAGTCTAAGAAAAGCTGGGGTAAATTGGTAGCGTACAAACCGTCCAGCATTGGGGTCAATGTCCTTCCTGTCACTGTGTTCACGTTCTGGAAAAGCGCAAAGTAAAGCTCCGTCACAGTTGTCTGAGAAATAGAAACTCAGTGAAAATACCTGCAATCATACATTGCTGAGTCATATGAGCCAGGAAACTATTCTGAGAAAGCTTGATGATGTGCTTACCCTCTTTCTATCCTCTCTAAGGCATCCACTATCAGTCACTTGGAGACAGAGAATTGCAAGATGGCCCTTTGGTCTGATACACTTCCCATTTTCCAAAGTGACTTACTGCTCCTACCTCTGATGTAGATTTGCAGTGTGACTCTGAACAAGCCATTCCATCTTAGCATGTCTGCTTTGCTCTCTATAAGCTACAGAAAACTTCCTCTCACCTGCAGGGAGGTGGGGAAGATTTAAAAGAGTGCTTGATCAGGAAAAGAACAGTTGCCCTGAGTTTTTATTACCAGTGGCAACAGGTAACACTGTGACGGTTACAAGTAACACCTGAAAATTGTGAAGTTAAAAAAAAATGCAAATTTTCAGTTTGTCTAATTTGCACAATTGACAAAGTTCCGCCCTGTTGGAAATACCATTTTCTTGACTCCTGAGTGGAAGATGTTAGACTAGCAGTTAAGCTATGTACAGGGGAACTCTCGCTGATGAATAGCCAAGAAACAAACACACGGTGACCTCCGCCTCTGCTTCTGTTTACAGCGTCCATCTGCCCTTTCTCATCACAGATGGCAATCATAAGAATACAGCAGCAACGAGTTCTGTTCACTGTGTTGGTACAAAGGGACACCTGAATAATATTTCTGCTGCAGGCTGGGACTGTATCCCTCTTGCAGTTGAAAGCATCTCCCATTTGGGGGAAATGCATTGAGTAAAAGGAGCGGGAAAAGGCAAAAGGAAGCAGACACTAGCATTTGTTTGTTCATGAAAACAGTATTTTGTGTGTGCACTCACCTGAAGCTGCTGGTTTGGTGATTTCAAACAAGACTGTGCCAGATTCCATGTCCCGAATTTTGAACCTGGTGAAGTCTATCTTGTAAACATTTTCCTCTGGAGTGCACAAATAATCTGCAGAGGAAAGCAAATTTAAATGAAGGCTGCCCAGAATTACCAGGTATTTCTGGGCGTTCTTTGGAGGTCACCACCAGCAGTGAGAGTGGCCCAAATGCATCTCCACTACTACCTTGGTTTTAATCCCAAACTGCTGTCTCTGAAGACAGCCCCAGTTCTGAATGTTCACACCACCCTGCTTCGCCAGGACAGGGAAAAGGCTGCTCTCCCCCAGCACTCGGAGGTCACCACCTTTTTCCAGCCCTGTGCCAATATCTTCTGCACCCATTTCCCCTCCGGGTATTGAGAATAGTCAGCACCTCCATCAAATCCTAGCCTTTGCAGTGTAAGAGGCTTTGCCTGCTTTAAAAACTGCCCTCTGGCAGAATGCAAGCGCTAAGCAGCTTTGTGAGCACTAAGCCAGCTGCACTTAACTGGAACAGGACTGTCCTCCCCTGTGCCACCTCCCCTGTCCCCAGCCCTCTGCAGACAAAGGATGGCCTCTTCTCTCCACCAAAGCTTGTCCCATGGAAGGACTTTTTTTCCCCTCAGCACTGAAAATGGTGCTGAAGCCTTTCCCTGTATTAGGAAAACAGACTGAGAACATATCCCTTCCCTGCCTCCACCAGAGTCGGTAATTTTGGGAGAAAGTCCTTGTTTCTGGCTTCACCCTTGCTGTGCCCCAGGACAGCTCGTGGCCTGGGTATCGGCCTTCTCTCTGGGGAAAGAGCAGTGGTGCTTCATTTTCACTGCACATATAAGCACAGATTGAAAGCAGCTCCAATAACTTACTTTACCTTGACAAATCTAAATAAATGTTGTAGGTATACAAGCCAGGTTAGCTTTTGAACAACTGTGCAACTGCATGTTGTAGGAGACTTGTTTTGGAGGTTCTAAGGTGAAAATAATACTTTAACATTCTAATTCTAAGCCCTTTCTCAGCTACTAATTCCTGCTGTTAGTCTGAGTTAATTACTTATTTCTGTCTGCTTTTCTATTTCTAAAATTCAAATACATCCATCCACTTAAGGCTTATTATTGACTATATGAAAACAAGCCACAGTGTACTCAGAGATCATACCTGCCCATTACAGCTGTACTTCAGTGCCAGTACAACAAATCGGGTACCTACATTAGGGTTGGGGGTTATGGTTCATGGGCAGTGGTTAGCACAGACTATAGAGAATGAGTTAAGAAAAGATCGCTGTGGTGTAATAAGAGACCATCCCAAACACCACGCGCTGCCATTACCAGGCAGCAAGGCCCTGGTGCTGGGATCTGTAATTACAGAAATCAGGTCCCTCTGCAGCGAGAGACAAAGCTAGCTCTAGTCAGCACTGTGAAAGATTGCTCTGAGGCGCTGCTGAGCACGACCTGCACATCCAACACCTGCACTTTCCTAGGAGCTTTTTATTCTGTGCAAATCTCCTTAGCTTGGAGGACTGTCCAAGTGCTCACTGGTACAAGGAACAGAGGTGTTAAACATACTGTCTGGACAGTTTTACTGCTCTCCATCATCACCACCACCATCTGGTGAACGCTCAAAGGAATGGGCTTTGAGCGAGAGGGCTGTGTTTGAAGCATCTCTGGCACTTGGCAGGGAGGTTTCGCTTTCCTATCGACATGGCACAAAGGAAAACTAACACCAATACCCACACTATCAGGAGGAACAAGATAAAAGCTCAACCTTTTTACTACCACAAGAAAATGCAAGTCTAATGTTAGACAAAATAGCCTAAGAACTGCATAAATCTTCTTTTCTGTCTTTAGCCACGGAGGTGGGACAGAAATTTAAATCAACACCTTGCCTTAAGCCCTGACGTTCAGCAATCCTCAGGTAGACATCCTGCAATTACACAATGATTTTAGGTTCTAACACATCAGCCAGCCCAAATCCTTAACTCATCCCACAACTCCAGGCAGCTCCACACAAAACACGAAGCGACAGCAGCAGGCGCAGCTTCCCACAGTCCCGGCTTCGCCCCCCTCGGCCCACGGCCACGCTTGGACCAGCTGCTCTCCACAAAGGCAAGGGGCTATACCAGAACGGGCTGGTGGTCGCCTGGGAGCCTGGGACACCTTCCCTAGAGCACGCAGGCAAAGGCTGAAGCCGCGTTTGTCTGTGAGTTAATTATTAAGTGTTTTTCCTCCTGCAAAATTCCTGCCCATCCAGCACCATGGCAACAGCTTTATCCCCCTCCTTGGCAGCAGCGTTGCTGCAGTAACAGTGTCCATGACTCATCTGGAGGAGAGAAGAGCCAAGCAGAGCCACTGAAGAGGAGTAAACCCCCGGCAGAATCCCCACCAGGCTCCTGCTCATTGATGTTTGCACGCCTGCACTATATTTTCCAACTCTTTTTGCACTGAAAATATTAAAAAAAAAAAAAAAAAAAAAAAATCAACATGCCTGTATCTAATTAGATGACATCTGGGAAGATTAGCTGCCAGAGTACTGCAATCAAGTATATTTTTCCTCCTCTGGCAGTGCCCAGTCTCTTAGCAGGGGGGGCAAAAAAAAAAAAAAAAGGAGGTATAGATATTCCTCTCAGTATGTATCAAATTTGCTTGCTGCAATTCCTGTTCAAAAATCAAAGTAGCCACTTGCTGGTTTTTTCCCCCCATACATAACAGAAGCCCACAGCTATACTGGAAGGTCTTATTGGAAATGGGCTGCTTGCAATTGGCAGATACTTCTGCTTAGCTGAGCACTGTCAAATTTTCTAATCTCATCCCATACATACTTATTTTTAAATCACTGTAGGGCCCAGTTGCCCACACTTCCGTGACGCACTTAAATGTATCATCTGCTTTCATTATCCTAATTCAGCGTCACCACAATTTGGGGAACGGAGGCAGCATCCATTTCTATTTTAGTTAGACATAAGGCAGCTCAAACCCCCATCGAGTGAAGTGGGTCATTGCAAGAAAGGTAGGCTCGGTCTCTCAGAACAGAACATTTTTTCATTTCTTCCACTTGCCCTGAAGCAGATTGCATTGTTTCTCCATTAATAACCAAATATATCTCACTGAACAAGCCTTCAGTATTCACCTGATTCAGGGCCAACAGCACACTGAACATGGGATGGGCACATCAGCGCTGTTTTAGGAACCCCAACAGATGGGCTTTTGTCCTGAAGTACCCACATTAAATAGTGCAAAAAAGGGTCACAAGGGTGAAGCATTTCCTCCTCCTTCCTAAAGCCCAGCAAATTGCCATATCCCAGACCTCCATACCCAAACTCTTCCTGGAAAGAGTTCACCAACTGAGTTGAACTTGTTGTACCCAAAGCAAAGAGTAAATCCTTGCAACTCGCCCAAGCCTGGTATTTGCAGCACTTCTCATTCACCCATCCCTATTCCTGCTGGTGCCTCTGCAGCTTTTCCCATAATCTCTATATCATGCCCAAAGATCCGCAACTCCCCACTATTAGAGAAATTTTCTATCTTAAGCCCTACCATGGTTTTGAAGAGTTTGGAAGCACAACTAGCAACACTGTGGTGGTCTCAGGAAGCAGCAGAAGTGATGGACTTCCTGAGCCAGACACAATGGATTCCTTCGTGAATTCTCCTACTCCCTTTGTCTGAAAAAGTGATTAAAAAAAAAAAAAAAAACTCTGAGCCATCTGTAGTAAGGCATTCAGTAAGAGGTCTCTGGCTTTGTTATCAGAAACTGTAGATGCTCATTCCCTGTTTGCAGTTCTGAGGTGGTACCTCCGCTGTCTGATCCAGAGAAGAGCCCGTTCTCATCCAGGAAACATTCCTCCCCTCCCAAAACCAATCAAGATTGCAAAAGAAACCAGCAAAACAGCCTAGACAAGGACAGCAGGCATTGCCTATTCTCTTGTGAACAAGGGTACACTGTGAATCCTGGTGCACATTTCCAGCCATGTATTTTAGCAAGCTGGTGTTACAAAGGAGCGCAAAAGGTGAGGGATAATGCAGTGCTAGATAATACAAGAAGAAAGCTAATGAAGGCACTTTCTCCTCCTGTCCTCTCCCTGTTATTTCAGTTATCCAGTGGATGAGATTAGGTGTTTGATCCTCATCAGAGAAAGCTAAAAGTTGATCCTATACTTTCAGATTTCCTTTGCAACCACCCCACCAGGCACATTTTATCAAGAGGAGTTCATGGGCATTAGGGTTAGCACTCCTTGTTGTGCTCCTTTCAAGATCCCTTCTCCTTCTCTGCAACCAGGAGGAAGCACGTGTCCCCTCTCACAGACATTACAGATATTTCTGTGGTGCTCATCAGAGCATCTAGGCTCAGGTCTGGCAGCTCCTATTTTAAGGCTTTAATAGCCCACAAAGGAAAGCAGAGTGTACCTGGGGTAAGAAAGGATGCAAAACCTGGTCATGAAAATGGGTGCAAATCGGGAGGATGCTGTATGAGAAACTGATGCAACAGCAGTGACCTGTAATAGGGACACCTCTCCCCAACACAGGCAATAACAAGAATCTGGGGAATGAGAAGGCTCCTATAGCTATGCAGGCCTATTTCTTAACAAGCATTAGCCAACAAGGTCAGATCCTATTTTGAAGACAACTCCCAAGATGTAAGCCAGGTATAAAGCAAAGACAACTGCAGATGAATTGCTAGGAACTGGAGATTAGGAGATTATCAGATTGAAGAGTCTCAGGAGGAAGAGAACAAAAATAGCACAGACCTGTGAAGATGCAAAGCAGTGACGCAGGATGGAGTGCAAGACCTCGAGGGGAAGGCAGGGCAAGCTTCAAGCAGTATTGATATGCCTGCTTAGACAACCTGAGTTCAATTAAAGAAAAAACTAAACCATTTCTCCTGCCCTCTGCATCACCAGTTCAACTCCTGTAAAGAACAGGGCAGAGAAACAAGCTAAACCAGCCAGGATCCACTCCAGTTCTAAAGCCCTGAGATTTGGATAAGCAAAGATGGTGGGGGTAAATGGGGAGGGAGGCACCTGCAGCCCTCCTGCCTAGCTCAGTAATTATGCTGCTGCGAATGCCCCAGAGGAAAAATCTCGCACCAGGGGAGTCCGATGGGAGTTTCTGTGCAGTGACACATTTACTGACCGACCCTGTGAATGAAGCAGAGGTGCATCCCTGCAGGCTCAGAGCTGGGGCATTTACAAAGAGGTCCCTGGAGCCTGTAAGGTGTATCCGCCTGGCAGCGTGCCGTGCCACACTGTGCACCAAGTTCTACTGCTCACCTCACCAGGCTCTGCTTTTTGTGGTAGCCTGCTCATCTCTTTTTTTTTTTTTTTTTTTTTTTTTTTTTAGCTAGAGCTTTCCAGACTTCACCCTCTCACAATTAATTTGATCGCAGCCCTCCACGCCTTGTTAAGGAAGGATGGAGCTGCTCTTCCCCCATCCCCAAGGCATCCAAACACTCTTTCCTGCCCCCTTGTTCAAGCTGATTGCACTCAAAAGTCTGAAATTGTGCACAACATTAACACAATCAGCTCACTTTGCTCTTACATGGGACCAAGCCAAAGCAATCAGTCCCTGCCCAAACCCCCAGGCTGCCTCCCCCAGCATATGCCACAGCTTTCCTCTTACCTTTGCCACTTCCACCAGGGACGGCCCAAACCCACAACACTGGCAGAAGGAGGAACCCACTCAGCTGCCAGCACAGCACCCTGTGCTACACACATGCCATGTGTGCTGCCCCTGGAAATCTTAACAGCCCATATTGTACTGCGAGACTACTAAAAAAAAACCTTCAGCTACACAACACTTCAAGTTGCGCGTTATCACAAAGCCTTGAAAAGGTTCAGAATGTATGTGGTGCTGCCGAGGGAAGGAGTCACAGGGAGAGCAGCTTGACACAGCTCTGGGATATCGCTCTTTGACAAGAAATCAGCATATCAAAACGCTTTTACAGATCACAGCCCTGGACAATTCAGAACAGTGATTCATTAACCTCCTCACAAACACCCCCAGCTAATCAGAGCTCCTAATACAATAAGTTTACCCAATTAATTGGAGAAAGAAAAGAAAGTCATGGTCCAGGACTGGCTTTGAAGATTGATTCATGCACATCAGCTTCCCATTAACGCTATGGGGAAACTGGAATGAAAGTAACCCACGAAGGGTCTGCCCTGACTGACCCATCGAGGCAGCCCTCTGCCAAGCTGGCCGTTAGCTAAAGCTGCTATGAGAAGTCTCAGAGAAATCTTAAATGACAGCCTGGGGAAGAGATTAGTTTCAGAAATGATTAAGTGTGTGTTCCTGATTTTTAGGTTTTGTTTTGTGTAATCAATTATTTAACCCTTTGGTTTGATAAAATAAAAAAAGCTTTAGCATAAAACTTAAAATAATCTAGCATTACAGACAAGCTGTACAGGCGCCTGAAGCTGTGATAAGCAGGACAGTGGCAGAGGCCGAAGCTTGCCTTTCATTACGTGTCTGTTTGAAGCCTGGTACTATTGCACACTGGCAGAAGGAGATGCCATTACAGAGGCTGTAATATCATCTTTCTGATGACCACCGATAACTAACCCCAAAGATGGAGGAAGAAATTAAAGCTCTGCTTGAATTAACCTCGTCCTGCAGCTAACGTGGGAGTAGCACAGCGTGACCCAGCAAAGCTGTGAGATGCAAGCATGGTCAAAGACACGAGGGACAGTGCCCGGGGATGACAGGCTCCAGTTCCTCGGCTGGCTCCAGGAGGCAGGACATGGCGTTTGCAGACAGACTTCTCTGATCCTCTGGCTGTTTCGGTAATTAATTGCAATTTGAACTGAGCTCTGACCCACTCCTTTGCTAATCCTAAATTAATCACGTCTTTTCCTCTTTGTGACCGCAGTTGTGTGAGCAAGTAACAAATCTTGCTAATTGCAAAGAAAATGGTTCATTCCTTACACCTAATCCAGTTGGAGCTGCGCCAGAGCCAGCCCAGCCAAAAGGCCCAGATATTCCAGAGCAGCACCCCAGATCCACCAGGCCAGACCTTAGCATGCCCAGAAATGTTATAGCCCTGGAGCTGCGGGAGAATTTAACATTGAAAGGACGCAGCGTATGCAGGACAGTTTGCATGACTCCCCCCTTTAAGCTTATTAGAAGCACATTAAAAGCAGAGGCCAGCTGGCTCTGCTGGCTGGTTCCAGACAGGGTTTCTCCAGCTTAGCAGTAAGCGTGCTTTGCCACAGAGCCACATGCTGCACCTCCACCCTCCCAGCCTCAGACATTTAACATTTGGTCATTTATCAGCTGTACCTATTGGAAGAGGAAAGCCCAGCTGTGCTTCCTGATGCAAAAGCATCAAATACCAGAGCAGGGCTAACAGCCTGCCCAGTCAACAGGTAGCCACCACAAGCAGCAGGTTGGCTCCTCAGAGACCCGGCTCTTCCAGGGCCGAAGGGCGAGCAGGTTTGCCCACTGTATCAGGAAGCACTGAGATGCTCCACAGCCTACAGAGAGAGCAGAAGATGGCAAACCCCAGCTGCAAAAGAGCATCTGCAAGATCAGCACACCCCAGGCACATGCAAGGTGTGAGCACCATGCCCTGCTGCCACAGGGGTCTCTTTTGTAACTGGATTCACACTGTACTCCAGACAGTAGCTAGGATTCTGCCTCTCCCCACACAAGCTGGAAGGCCATTCAGAAGCACACAAGCTATTCATGGTGTAAGCATTCCTAAAACGCACTTTTCCTGCAGTACCAAGTCCTCCTCTAACATGGTTTATCCTAGGATTTGTTTGTTAAAACGTGGCCAGGCTACCCCAGGTCCCTGGGCAGCACATAGCTTAACCACAGTCCCTTGACAGCATGAGCTCCTGTGCTACCGTCCCATGAGTTTGGATAAACATTAATTATATTCCATCTGGAACAACAAAGGACATCCAAGGCACCAGAACATTTCTGCTGAAACCCCCCTACCAACTCCCCCTCCAACTTCAAACTGTCTGGAGCACCACAACTCTGGGCATCAAAACCAGGATTGCTGAAATAGTGTTGTGCCTGCCCCGACTCAGCATCTCTAAGGGGCTGGGATAGCCACGAACTTCTCTCCCACAGTCTGGTCCTTCTCCCCCCTTGCAGCACCCTCCACTTGGAGCAGAAGACTGAAATGGTTTCACATTGGTATTTTTGGCAATCTGTTTTTAAAAGCTTGCTGTGACACATGGAAATGAGTAAAGGCCACAGAATGCCCCAAATCATCATTACATGTTAAGATCAGAAAACTATTCTTGTATCTTTGCTCTCTGTGTTAAACACACCAGGTGGAAAACAGCTTGAGAAGGGGTGCTGCAAAATATTCCTAGGCAGTAAGATAGAATATGCTCAACGTGGATGTACTGTGTACCTGTATCCCCAAATGCACACCAAGGATTTCAGGTGCAGGGAGCATTTGCCAGCTCCCACGTACCCAGCAGGACAGACAAGCACTTCCCACGGGAAGTCACTACCTGTGGCTCATCACAGTGCCTGGTTCTTGTTCGGCATGACCCATCCGCACCCCCCTGCGCTACCCTTGTACCAGCAAGTCCCGCAGCAGGAGGGGAGCTAAACATTTTCATGCATTTCACATCTTTCCAGGGAGCAATGCCCCACAACTGGAAGAGGCAGGCGACAACCCGCCTGGCTCTGAAGCCGGGGTGACCAGCTCAGCCTTCCCTGCGCCCTGGGAACGCAGGCGCTTACCAAGAGCCATGCACCATCCACAGTGGCCAGAGCGATGCCACGCGAGGTCTCCACGCCCCGGGAGTGAGGGTGTGGGGTGGCCACGTACCTGTAGCCCCCCCCCAGACAACACCGCCGAAAGCAGGGACACGCAGGCTACTATAAAGCAAGCACGCAAAGCGCTTCATGCAGCCATCGCTTGGCTTCACCACCTAACTGCTGCTCCTCCGCGTATGCTGGCAGTACGCTTCAGTGCCTGCTGCACAGCTCTTGCTGCGACGGGCTGGGGTTTGCTGGGCCTGGGCAGTGAATCACGCTGCTGCAGCCCATCAGAGCACCTCAGCTCGGAGAAGGGGACCCGAAGACACCCCCCCCCCCCCCCCCCAGAATCAGCAGCCCCTCTTTCAGAGGAGCCTCTGTAGCCCCTTCCTGAGAGCTAACGCCGAGTCCCCGCTGGGCTTTTTCTCCCACCCTTCCACCCTGCTCCCCACACATCGGCCCACGGGGCCGCTTGCACGCACCAATACTCACAGCCGCATCCTTCCTCCCCGGGGCTCGTCACGCCGCACAGCCCCGGCCTGCGCCACAGAACCCGCTCTAACGCCACATCGCAGAGCGCTCCAAGGCAAAGAAGAGCACGGCCAGACACCCAGGCCGAGCCCCCTCCTCCCTGCCAGAAGTCTTCTCCCCCTGCCCAACCTGCTGCCCACAGGGACGACCCAAATGTCCCTGGGATGTGCAAAAAGGCCTTTTTGGGGGGCAGCGGGGCAGACCACCCCTAGGCATGGCTGAGGGCAGGCTGGCCCGAGGCACAGGTCTTCTCCCAGCCCCGTGTGCTGCAACCACGACAGGTCCCAGCCGCGCTGCTCTGCCAAGCACAACAAACCTTCCAGCCCGCACGCTCCCGCGCCTGCCGTCCCCTGAGGATGCTCTACAAGACCAGCAGTGCTATACTGGAAAAGGGGAAACTGGGGAGGGGGGGGCTGCAGGATGGGTCTGCAGTGAAGCCCCCCACCACCACCACCTCCGTGCTACAGTTACAGATCCAGCCTGCCCCCCCCCTCAGCCCCACTGCTGCGGGCACAGGCTTAGGGGGCTCAGCCTGGCCCAGGGACACAGACAGACACGGGAAAGGGGAAACAGGGAAGCCCACCGACCTTTTGACTCCAGGGTTATGGGGTGCGGGGGGGGGGGGGGGGGGGGGGGCCGCATCCCCAGCGTTGAGCCTCAGGTCCGAGCATCCCCTGGGGGATGGCTGGTCCTTAGGTGGCACCCAAACCCCGGGGGTACGCATCCCCCGGGCAGCCCTTATCCCCTGAGGTTCCGCACCCCCCAACTCCTCGTCCCCCCCGGGGAGGGGACCGGCTCCCCTTCTCCCCCCCCCCCCCGGCACACACCGCTGGTGACCCGCTGCAGCCCCAGCACGTCGTCGGGCCCGATGAGCGGTTTGCGGCCCAGCTCCTCCTCGGTCCTCGCCGCCGCCGCCGCCGCCGCCCCGGTCCCGGCCCCGCTGCTCTTCTTCACCTTCATGGCCCCGCCGCCGCCGCCGCCGCCGGTGTGAGCGGCCCCGGCCCCGCTGCGCTCCGCCGCCCGCCCCGCCGCACCGGGAGGGGCATCGCCGCCCCGCCCGCCCCGCGGCCCGCCCCCCGCCCGGCCCAGCACCGGGGAAGCGGCGGGGGGGGGGGTGTGGAACCGGGACACGGCCCCTCTGGCTGCTCCGAGGGGCTCAAGGCAAACCCCTGCACTGGAGGAGGAGGCGCTCCCCCCCCCGCCAAACAGCCTCCCCCCTCTCCTCTCCATCATGGGGGGGGGGGGGTCAGAATGCAGGAGCCTGTGAGCAAACAGCCCCCTCCCCAAACCGCCAGTGTTGGGGGGCAGGGGGGGAGTAGTGACCCTGCTCCTGAGAGCACAGGGGGTAACACCCAGAATGAGGGGGGAACCCATAACTGCCACCCCCCCACAGCTCATTGAAGGGAGGAGCTGGACCGCATGAAGATGTAACTGCCCCCAGGAGGCTCTGCCCCCATTCCCATCCACAAGAGACCCCATTAAGAACTGCCCCCCTCAACCCCTGAACCCAATCACTGTCCCCCACAAGTGCTTTGGGCTGAATATACGTAAGACAGAAGTCAGACCCCGCAAAAGCAACGGGGGGGGGGGCTGGGGGGCAAGGCGAGCAGGGCCAGGGGAAGGCAGGGCAACAGGCACCATAGCAGAGGGTCACACAGCACCACACCCGACCCCCCCACAACTGGGGTTTGTCTTTATTTGTACAGCAGCTGAACACAGTGCAGGAGCTGAACACAGGGAGAGCCCCCTCCCTCCTCTCTGATCTCTGCCGTTCGGGGTGGGGGGCTCAGGACCCAGACTCATCTCCACCTTGCCCCCAAACCAGTCTCTCTTCCCATTCCTACATCTTGGCCACAGCAGTCCCAAGCCAAGCAGCCAGGCCCGGCCCTGACACCATTCTGAGGCCCCTTCTTGGGCCATGGGTCCATGACAACACCCCTCAGGAGGTGGGGACAGCCCCAGGGCACCATCGTGAGGGGTTCAGTCCAGCTTGGTGGGCTCCTTCTTACGCTGCCTGGTCTCCCGGACAATCTTGGCCAAAGAGAGGAGAATGGGGACGGCCATGGGGAGGAAGAGAGGGATGTAGATGGCAAACTTCTGGTCATCGGGGAAGTAGAGAAGATGGAGGAGGGATGGGTCAAAGAAGGCCCGCTCCGAGGAGGTGACTGCCTCCTTGCTGGCCTGGAAAGCTGAGTGCAGATGGCCCGTGGCCAGCTTGGCCATGGCGCTCTGGGCGGAGGCCACTGCCTGGTACACCTGTGGGGGAACAACACTGACGGTCAGTCCCTGACCAGGGAGGACCACAAAAACAAGCCCGGGGGCCTCACTCGCAGCACCACACCAGCAAGAGCTCATGGGCTGCACAGCGACGCCTGGTCTCCTCCGCTCCTCACCTCAGAGGCGACATCGTCTTTGATGACAATGTTCCCGATCTTATCCAGGAGCTGGGCCAGCGAGGTCAAGGTGGTGGACACAGTGGCGATGTTCTCCACAGTGTGGGCCCAGAGCAGGCGGTCCAGCTCCCAGTCGGCCAGCCCCTCACTCCCTGGGCTCTCCAGCAGGAACTCAGGGGGCAGATTTTCCCGAGATAACCCAAAGAGTAACCTGGGAGTAGAAGGGAAGGTCCCAGCCCACATCACAAGCCTCCTGCCCCACGTGCACTCACTGCTCTTCCCCCCTTCAGGCTTGGCAGGGCTCAACCCACACCTGACAGCTTCCTGCACAAGGCGCAGGACGAGACAAGCCTACTGCCTCAAGAGAGGGGAGATAGGCCAGCACTCCTGGCCAGAGCAGTGCTGGCCAGTGGTCAGCACCTCTAAGGCCACAAAAAAACACCCTCAGCTTCCCAGAGCCCACGGAGAAGCGAAGGAGCTGCATGGGTACAGCCTGCTCTGACCCCACGGATTTCCACACGTGCCAGGAGAGCACAGAGGAGCCCGGGGAGGGGAGAGAGCATCCTCACCGGAGCTGGGCCAGGAAAACCTCCATCACTCGCACCATGTCCACGTCCACGTGCAGCGGGAGGGAGGCTTGCGGGGAAGCAGGGGCTTCAACGTTGTAAACCTGCAGGACAGCATGTCAGCAATACACAGCCGGAGCCCTGGGGCCGGCTCTGCCCAGCACTCCTCCATGGCCCCATACCATGATGCCACCCCAGCGGGGGCTGTGGAAGGCGTTGGTGCTCACTGGGGCTCCGTCCTTGTCCTGAATGTACAGAGGGGAGTGGGAGCGCTCTGGCACGTACAGCAGGAAGTTCAGCACGGGGTAGAGCGAGGCAGTGCTGGAGCCTGCAGCAGGACAGAATCAAAGAACTCCCCTGGCTGGCAGGGACAGCGAGAGCAGGCGACTGACATGCAGCCCTGGAGCAGAGCCCAGCTCAGCTCCTCCTTCCACAGCAAGCCCCGAGCAGAACTGCCAGCCCGGCAGGTCTTGGTCACCCTCGCTCTCATCTGGGGCTGGCAGGGCACGGTGCTGTGGGGAGGGAAGGGGCACAGGCCATAGGCACTGCTGTCCACCCTTCCCTCAGCAGAGCCCAGCCCCATGAGAGCCAGGTCAGGAGCGTAGTGCTCACCCAGCCGGGCCTCCACAGGGTTGATGACATGTGGGAGGCTGTGAGCGCTCAGGAGGAAGCTGGAGGACTCCTTGTCAAAGCGCGGCGTCACTCCTAGGACGGCATAGTACAGGATCTGCAGACACACAACAAAGACGTTGCTGGCAGAAAAGTGCATCCCAGGGCACCTGGCAAGGCCCAGGGCTGGCCTCTCCCCATCACCTCTCCCAGTTCTCACCTGCGAGTCGACAGAGAAGTTGGCCACCAAGCTCAGTTTGTCCAGGACAGGCTGCACGTAGCGGTTCACGGCACCCTCGATGTCCCAGTCCACGTCGTGGGACTTGGGGTCGGGGTTCAGCAGGCTGAAGGTGATCTCGTATCCTGCCGAGGACCCATAGCCTGTGAGGCACTGGCACAGCACAGGCACACGGCCACGACACAGCTCCCCAAAGCAGCAGGACCTGATCCCCTCCTCCCTGGCACTCCCCGATGCAGGGTCATGCACCAGCGCCCCAACACACAGCAATCACAGCACAGATCCTGGCCCGGAACAACCGCCAAGGGCAAAGGGAAGACCCCAGGGTCCATTATCCCAGAAGGCATCCAGGGATGCTACAAATACAGCAGGGATGGGATCTCCCCCCAGAGACAGAGGGCTTTCCCCAGGCCAGGGAACGGGGCTGGGGCATAGGTCTGTACCCAAGCTGGATTTCAAATGCCGCCGGGCGTCAGGGCCGAGCTGGCTGTCGGGCACGCGGTCCGAGAGGGCGGCAGCGATGGAGCTGGCCGTGAAGGACATCACCTGCGTGAGCTGCTGGAGGCGGGTGCGGAGGGGGGCCAGGCCCCCCCCAGCCCTCACCAGGGCACTGCGGTGCTTCCCCACGTAGACGCTGACGCCCTGGGGAAGGGGCAGGGGTGAGGGCCGCGAGCAGGGCCAGCTCCTGCCAACACACCGGAGAACAGCCACCCGTGACAGCCTGGGGACAGATGCCACCCCCCAAGGCACCTCCGAGGGGTGGCGTGCACAGAGGCTGGCACCGCAGGGTGCTGCTCCCTACCTGAGGCAGGAGAGAGGAGGTTTCGGGGAGCACGTACACGGTCAGAGCACCCAACAAGGCATCCTGCAGCGGGTGCAGAGCAGCATCAGCCTCTGGGGAAAATGAAGGCGTTAGCAGGGTTGGGAATTTCACTCTAATCCCTGTTCCGCCCTGAGACTCGGCAAAGCCGAGTCCTCTGCTCAATCAGCTTCGGAAAGAGCAGGCTTCCCCCCCCACGGAGCTCCCCCAGAGACCGCAATCCCTCAGTCCCAGTACCTCGTGCCGTAGCTGCACCCAGCGCTGCCTCCTCCTGAGCCGTGGTGCTGCGATAGAGCATCTCGTAGCGGGACGTGACGCTGGTTCTCACTGCCGGGGGAGAAAGCCTAAGTGAATCCACTAACCCCAAGCCCTGGGACCTCTGTAGGAGGCAGGAGACAAGGGACAGCCCCAAGGGGACACAAGGTTCTTCAGGCACCAGCTCTGGCCTCAGGGGGTCCCCAGGCAGCCCCACGCCACCCCAGGGACATCCCGGCTGCCATCACCCCCCAAGTCCCAGGGAGGGGAGCAGGTCTCTTCCCCACAGCACCCTGGGGACCTCGCTGTCCCCGCTGCTCCCCCGGTGACGATGCCGGCGAACGTGGCTATGGGGTCCGGGGAGCTCCGGGCTGACAGCCGGGAAAGCAGCCGTGTGTCCCCCAGGGACCTCCCCGGGGATGGGCGAGAGGCCACCCAGGAAGGGGAAGGGCAGCCGGAGCGGGTCTCTCACGGTTCACGGAAATCTCCATCTCCTGCGCGTCCCGGAACGGCAGCGGCCTCGGCAGGTCCCCGGGCACCGACCCCGGGGCGAAGGCGACGGCGACCGGCACCGCCAGCTGGAACTGAGCGAAGGGTCAGCCCCGGGCCCCGCCGCCTCCCCCGGCCCCGCCGCCCCTCCCCGGACTCCCCGCCCGGCGCTCACCGGCAGCTGGCCCAGCCCGTCGATGTCGGCGTAGGGCAGGGCGGCGCGGTAAGTCTCGGTCGTCCTCCACCACAGCGGCAGCCCCAGCACCACGGCGATGGCCGCGAAGGACAGGGCGGCCCGGCGGCCCCGCGCCCGCTCTGCGGGGGACAGCGCTCAGCACCCGCGGCGGGACGGGGGGAACCACCGGACGAGCCCCGAGCACCCACCGGTACCTGCTTCATCCGCCGCCGCCGCCGCCATCTTCACATCCTCGCCCCCCGTTCCAGCCGCGGGGGCGGAGCCTAGGCGCAGCCCAGCCTGTCCAAGAGCCCAGCCAATAGGCGTGGAGTGCGGCGAGCGGCGGCGCGGACGGGCGGGGCGAAGCACCAATCAAAGCGCGGTACGCGCCCCGAGGAGGCGGGCCTCGGTCTCACGGCCTCTACGAGCGCCGCGGAGGGACAGGCGGTGCCGAGCGCCGCGACCGGGAGA